CCCCCCCTTCCCCCGCTCGCCGCCCGGTCAGCGCGGGAGGCGGCCAGTCCCGCAGCCCGAGGCGTCCCAGGGAGCCCCGCTGCCCGCGCCCACGGGCGTCCGTGCCCCCCGACGCTCGGGGACTCACCGCCTCCGCGTTCCCGGCCTTCCAAGCTGCCCCGTGCTGGGTCCTGGTACCGACGTCTGGACTCGCTTTGACCTCACCAAGGCAAGGCAGAGCCCGCATTTTCTAACCCGCGGCGCCTGGGCGGGGCAAACAGGGTCTGCTCCAAGTACAATTTCAGCCCGAGGCCAAGAGGAGCGTGGGGGCGGGGGAGTGGGGGTGGTGGTGCGGGAGGCGGACTTTGGGGAGATGGAGGACTTTTTCCACGTGAAAGATTACCATCCTGATATGCATTGACCTCTTCTCTGGTGTGACATGTGCAAAATCAGGATTTGTTTTATGATTGATGACATTTTAGAGGAATGTGGTATAGAATTGTACAATTTGTTGTACACATACTATTATATGTAAAAATAATTGGCCAGACTTGTGACATTCTATCTGTAATCTCTTTTGGTTTTGTCTGTTTCAAAGGCGGAGAAAATTAGAATTCTTTAGCAAAGCATTGATCTCATGATATAAAGGTTGGATTGGTAAAGGAGTTTCAAGGACAAAAGTATTTGGCTATCATCATTTCAACTGAATGCAACGCTATTTTTAGTGGAGATAGACATTGGGTTTTGAAGTCACTTGAATTTATTGAATGTGTTTTCATTACTTTCAAATATATAATACAGAGTGAATGTAAAATAATAGAAAATATATATATTGGTCTCTGCCTCCAGTTCCTGGCACAGAGCTCCTAAAACTTGTAATGTCCTAAGTGATAAGAACAGGAGGAGCATCTTTCGTTGTGATATTTGATCTTTGACTCTGGTTCCTGACACGGAGCTCCTAAATCCCTTGGAATTTCCTGGGTGATAGGAGTGTCTTGTGTTCTAATGAGGTGACTCTGGGTGGGCTCCTGGATGGGGCTGGTCACCAGAAAGACCAGCATGATTAGAAGTTTGGAATGTTCAGTCTCACCATCCATCCTCTGGGAAGGAGAGAAGGTACATGCAGTCTCCATAAAAATGAAGCCTCCATAAAAATCCAAAGGTACGGGGTTCCGAGAGCTTCCAGGTTGGTGAACATATGGAGGTGCTGGGAGAGTGGTGCACCCAGAGAGGGCAGGGAAGCTCCATGCTCCTTCCGCCAGACCTTGCCTTCTGTATGTCTTCATCTGGCTGTTCATTTGTATCCTTTATTATATCTTTTATAATAAACTGGTAAACATAAGTGTTTTCCTGAGTTCTGTGAGCCATTGTAGCAAATTATCGAACCCAAGGAGGCAATTGTGGGAACCCCAGTTGAGACCCAGAGGTCAGAAATACAGGTCACAGCCTGGGACTTGGGACTGGTGTATGAAGTGGGGGCAGTCTTGTAGGATGAGCCCTTAACTTGTGGGATCTGTCGCTATCTCCAGATAGATAGTGTCAGAATTTAATTGAATTATGGGACACCCAGGTGGTGTCACAGAGAATTGCTTGGTATGGGAAAAAAATCCCACACGTTTGGTGACCAGCAGTGTCAGAAATGAAGTGTTCTGTGTGGGTAGTAAAGGAGAAACACACAGGAGGAAGTGTGTTTTCCATATACACTGAACAGTAACCCAGAAAAGCATTTTGGGCTTATCTCAGTTTCAAGATGAAGACTCCACAAGCAGTAAATGTAGATTTTTTTAAAATTCAAAGTGCAGAGTACAATAAAATAAGGGAAAGACATCCATGAAAAAGTGGTAAACACACTGGAGAATAAGACAAGATGTTGTGAGAAAAGGTAACTACTGCATTAGGGCATTAGGAAAGAGATGGAAATTAAAGGGAAAAGGTGAAACAGTCATAGAGAGGATTGTAAATTCTATTAAACCAATAGTACATGTTAATTGTATACAAGTTAGAAAATTTTTATGTGAAGAAAATGAAAATCATCCATAATCTGCCACCACATGTTAACCACTGTTGGCATTTTGGAGTGTTTCCTCGTAGACATTTTTCTCTGGGTTTATACACAAATAGATGATATAGCTCTGTTTTCAATGTTGATTTTCCCAAAAATGACATTACAGTGATTAATGACATTTCTAAAGTATTATATATATTGAGAACTTTTTTCTGTGCCAACAAAAATCCATAACATCACTTTTTTATTCATTTTTTATGTTTTTAGGTACAATCAAGTGAAGGCATTTTTCAAGATGAGAGGTATTTTTGGAGAGTCTCAGATGGACCAAAAAAGATTTAATATTGCACCCATCAGAAGCAAAGCTTTGCTGATTGTGCTGGTAAACTCTCATGTTCTCATCAGAGTGAGTTTTCACGGTGTTGTGGGCCTTTTGTTTAATGGAAGGAGGAGGGGGTAAGAGGGAAAAGGTATCACGTCACCAGAAAATGATTGCTGTGGAAGCACAGGGGCATCATTATGTTAGGTTAGGGCTGGGACCTCCTGCCTCACAGGCCTTGTCTTTGCATTGCCTTCCATCATCAGCGAGCCACAAAAACACACACCAGAGTACCTGGGCATGGGCACATGCAGACCCACTTTGCTTCTTTTAATCACAAGTGCTTTTGCATATTTTCATTTTAAACAGGAACCCTGTTTTAGTGCTTTACTGGAATATAGTATTATAAATGGTGTTTACATAGGATGTGATTTACCTCCTGTGTTAGGGTTATATATATATATATATATATATATATATATATATATATATATATATTTATTAT